GCTGGGCACAGTACGCGTATCACTTTTGAGCTCCACATCTTCATCCACTGGCAGATCCTCCAGGCACTCCTCTTTCACTGGTATTGTGCTGGACTGTGCCGACTCCTCCTCCTCTGACAGCAAGTCTTCCCCCTGCTCTTGCTTTACAGAACCGACCGAAGCAGGGGATGATCCCCTGGTCGGCCGCTCATCGTCGCTTTCAATGACAATCGTTGGACATTGAGTCGTTGGATTCTCCACAATATCATTGCTGTCACTAACAGCCTCTTTCTCGGCCAGAAGAGATTCCTTTGAAGTTTCGCTTTCATTCGTTTGCTTCTCGCTGTTTGCCGTCTCCGACTCTGGCTCTGCCTCCATTTGGCTGCTATCCTGGCCGTTTGCCAGAGTCAAGTCTATCACGTCATCGGTGCTCTTTTTACGCTTTCGTCGTACACATTCAGCATCGTCAGCAGCGTCCGCATTGTTGTTGTCGCTGTGCTCCATCGTGCTCTCCTCTTTCGCCAGCCCCAGCGCATTATGAGTGTCCTCGTAATCTTCCTCTTCGCTGGTAGTGCCACTTGCTGCTCCCGCACCGACATCCAATCCGACCCTGGCACTCGTACCACTCGCATCACCGGCATCTATGTTAGACGTAAGATTGGCTTGTTGCTGATCCAATGCCTCCATCATCGTTTCTGCATTTATGCGCTGTCACACAATGCGCAATCAAGAAGAAACAAAATGATATCGTTAATCAATCGAATTGTACGGTAGAAAAATGTGATTATTGGCATTACCTTTGCATTCCGTTTTTCGACTGCGTTCCGGTCTGCGCTTTGTTCTTTCGCATCCGTCTCCTACGCAGCTGACGGCGTAAGAAAATCAAAATCATTTTTATCAAATATACATTAGGTTTGTGGATGGAAAATCACACGCAAAGAAGAAACCGAAGAAAAACATTACGTTTATGCGCGTTATCTTTTTGCGGTGTTTATTCAGGCGGCACGGAAATTGGCTACACACAAATGCATTATTCAGCAGTTATGAGATTTTTTCTTTTCACGATATTTCAGCAGCGTGCATAAACATTGAATCAGAACAAATACAAATTACCGGTCATTATGTATGCAGCCCTGGCTAAATAATTGAAAATACAAAAATAAATGAAGCAAAATAGCAAACGCGAGAGAACAAATGACGTCTAAAAATAAATGAATTTACTTAAAATATTCTTGGAATGATACTATAATCAAGTGTACCCCTGTACGTACGTAATGTACCGTACCACACAATTGTGCACGTTTATTTACCTGCTTTGCGTGGCTGCTGTTGTTGTTGTGCCTTAGGTACAACAATTTCCCACAAACGAGTGAACAGAGTCGGCGAGGGTGGGAAACGAGGGAACGAATTTTACGCGCGAAAACAAGAAAAGGAGAAAACAACAACCGATGTCACGGAAGTTCGGGGCAGAACAGAACTGAAAGAGCGACCGAGACCGAGAGATTCGCCCCAGCGCAATGGGCTGAAACTGAGCAAGAACGAGACTCGCCTACCCCTCCTCAGCGCTCTACCGACAACCCCAGACAGTCCGCTTATACAATTTATGCTTTATTTTTATTATTAATTTACACACTGGGACACTCGGAAAGGCTCGAGAATTTCGCAATGTCGCGCAATCCCTTAGCTTGGTCCGGGCGACCAGGAAATAGTCGTTTTTTTGTGTTTTTGCGCGTCCCGAATTCTGGGTATAAAATTTTCTTCTTTTTGCACGTCGTCGTCCACGCTTTGCATTTTTTATTCTGACCACTTTTTTCTTTGCACTTTTCTATTTGTAATTACATCCAGAGCTGTATTGTAACTTAGTTGTGTATACAGTATACTTATAAACTATAAATCTAATTAAATTGCGTGTGAAAAATAATTTTTAGCAACATTTTTTTGCTTTTACAGCCATTGAAACACGCGCAGAAGCTAGCGATGGACATTGGTGGGGACTGTCCAAAATGCGACCATCAGTGACAAAATATCGATAGCTATCAATCATTCGAAAAGTATATTAAATCTTTGTTTGATCTTGTATTTCATATACTAGTTGCAATATTTATACTAAGGTTAAGCTGGTTTTAGTTGTAATTCGTTTAATTAGGCGGTTTTCTGAAATGATTATTTGATAACAGGTCTATCGATAGTGATTGCCAGCCCTGACTTATGGTTCAGTGTGATTTCGATTTGACAAGCTCTTTCCGTTTCCTTTTCGCGTGAACTACCAACATGAGAGCCAAGGGATTGGTTAGTATTAATGAAATAAACCCAAAAACACATAATATTTGCTGTAGAAATGTGTGAAACAGCGAGGCAAACCCACCAAGCGTCTCGCATGATCGATGGAATGTGCGGAATTGGGGCATTTCAGAGTAAAAACACGTCGAGTAAATAAAGTGTCGTGGACAGCGTTGGAAAAATGAATATGTCTGACACAGGCCAGGCGCCATATAATATAAACTATAGGGCTGTCTGAAGTTTCTTAAAGATTATGTGAAAAGCGCTGCCATGCAGTGACTAAATAATTAGAAAATGCACACAAAAATAAATTGTTTCTCCAATGCACAGAACATAACCTCCAACGTGTGGGTGCCATGCGCGAGTGTGTGTGTGTGTGTTTGCCTGCCTGTCGCCGCATTTGTTTACAACAAACGGAACTTATTAAAAATCTTTCCATTTGCAGTTGAAGGAATACGAGGTCGTGGGCCGCAAGCTGCCCAGCGAAAAGGAGCCCCAGACGCCTCTCTACAAGATGCGCATCTTCGCTCCCGACAACATTGTCGCCAAATCCCGCTTCTGGTACTTTTTGCGCCAGCTGAAGAAGTTCAAGAAGACCACCGGCGAAATCGTGTCCATCAAGCAGGTGTACGAGACATCGCCCATTAAGATCAAGAACTTTGGCATCTGGCTGCGCTACGATTCCCGTTCGGGCACACACAACATGTACCGCGAGTACCGTGACCTGACTGTTGGTGGTGCCGTCACTCAGTGCTACCGCGACATGGGCGCCCGCCATCGTGCACGTGCTCACTCCATCCAGATCATCAAGGTGGAGTCGATCGCTGCCGCGAAGACGCGTCGTGTGCACGTCAAGCAGTTCCACGATTCCAAGATCAAGTTCCCACTGGTACAGCGTGTCCATCACAAGGGCAACAGGAAGCTGTTCTCGTTCAGGAAGCCAAGGACCTACTTCCAGTAAAATGGAGGATATCCCCAGCCGAATGGAGCCCACTGCGTGCGCTCCTAACATTGACTTAGTGGTTTTTTTCAATAAACAGAGAACGTTGAAGAGTAAAATATATACAAAAAAGAGTTTCTTTATTGGAGTTTTTGTTCACTTCAACTCTCCGCAGGCATAGATGATGATCTTTTGCGTTGGAGTGCCCGTCTTTGAGCCACATCGTTCCATTTTGCGCACCACATCTGCACCGCTGATGACATGCCCAAACACCACATGCTTGTTATCCAGCCAATCCGTTCTATTGGAGAAGAGTTAAATCAATTATTAGATTCCATTCACTATCTTCAATGTCGAAGTGTCGGAACTCACTTTGTGGTGCATATGAAGAACTGAGAGCCGTTTGTGTTGGTGCCCGAATTGGCCATGGAGAGGGTGCCGAAGCTGTTGTGCTTCAGATTAAAATTCTCGTCGTTGAACTTTTTGCCATAAATGGACTTGCCGCCCGTTCCATTGTTGTTCGTAAAATCTCCGCCTTGGCACATCTGCGGGTAAAATGAAAGGTAAATATGTGTTGAAGGGATTTTGGAATCAAAATTCTTACAAATTCTGGAATCACGCGATGGAAGGTGGAACCTTTGTAGCCATAGCCCTGCTCGTGTGTGCACAACTGGCGGAAGTTCTCCGCTGTCTTGGGCACCACATCGGCCCTCAGCAGCATCACAACACGGCCAGCATCATTGCCTCCGATGCGTATGTCGAAGAATACTTGTGGGTTGCGCTTCTCAGCCTTTTCAATGACCGCTGGTCCAGTTGATGGCGTCTCCACCTGTTCCTGTTGCTTTCCTGTTTCGCCAGCTTCTGCGGGCTCTAGTGTCGCGCCAGCATGCTTCTGCAGCCAGTCATCATCCGCCCAGACCGGCTTGAAGCTGTCCTCCTTCACACGCACCGGCTTGGCCAAATTGACGCGAATGGTTCGGCCGCAGAGCTCGGAGTCGTTCTGCGGATATTGTTATTAGCATTTTGCTATCAAAATTCGTTGGTCTAACATACCATGTTGTCGATGGCCGAGGCCGCATCCTCCGCCTGCTCATATTCGATGAAGGCAAAGCCCCGGTGACGCTGCGACTCGTAGTCCACTGGCATTTGTATGTCCGCAACGTCCCCGAAGGGAATAAAAGCATTGTTCAGCAGTCTCTCAGTCACCTCATCGGCCAGCCCACCCACATAAACTGTGCGTTTGTCGTTGGACATCGTAATTACAGGAATATTTTGTAAATTTTTACAAAATTCCAGAAAAAAACACAAACAAACTGGTAAATGTGACCGTGGATCGAATATACCGCCTGACAATTAGAAAAATACCAAAATATACCTTCGCAGTTTCAAAGTATACTCTAAATATGCTCTATTTAAACAATTGAAGAGCTAAGTTAACTGTTTTTAAATATTGATCACCGATCCATGATCCATTTCTTCTGATTGTCCCAATGTTTCACGTCGTTCCATCCCTTCCAACCATCCGCTCCATTGAATGGCGTGAAAATTCTGGTCGACAGTGGGTTAATTTTCTCAACTGACTTAATTTGATGAATTGCATAAAATCACAGCCTTTTGATAAATTTGGTTAAGTTAACCCGTTGCTTGCCTGTACCACTAACCATATAAAGCTATAAATGTGCCAACTCTCAGAAATAATGTGGGGGTTACCGAGTGCTCGCAGGAACAATCCCATAGGTGTTTTAGTGTGTGTAGAAGGCTGCCTGCTGCATCACCCAATCCTAAGCAAACGTCAGCGTCGTTACGTTTGAAATAATTTATTATAAAAGATAATCTACAGTTAAGATTAGGTTAAAAACGCGTCACTTTCGTTGCCGCAGACAACATCGGAATTAATATTACATGGGTGGGCGTGGCTGAGTACGCCAGAGGCTGGACACAGCAGCTTAATCAGCGTGAGACAATATCCCGGCACAAAGGCATAGGAGGCGTACAGGAGAAGGGAAAGACAGCTACCAAGGAGTACGTCTGAAAGAAATGAAAAAATTTCGAAAATTTGAACAATAGCAAACACCTTAATCACAGACAGCATGAGCATGGGACAGGCGCACTCAGGTCGTATGTTTCGGTTGGGTCTGGTCTGTGACTAAGAGAATGACCGACCAACCAACCGACCGACGGACCGGCATAGATAAGATATCGATGAGTAAAGACTACTATTATTGTCTTTACAAAGCATGGAACGTGTACAACTGATATTCGCCGTGTCAGTGGACAGGATGTACTTACGGCAAAACACTTTCTCCCAGGGCTCACAGATGGCGATCTGTGTGTTGAGCTCGTAGAGCACGTAAAGCCATTTCACATATCGCTTCAATTTCTCGTAATCCTCGGCCAGCTTCTGAAACATGCTGCAGAACGTTCTTGTGCGAGCAGAGGTCTCGACGGATCCAGAGTGCGCGGTGAACTAAGCGCGGTACAAGTTACCGGCGCTGCGCCACCCTCGCCTCACCTCATTCATTGCTTATCAATAGATTTATATAAACATTTTTATATGTATTTGCCACAGGCGTATACATTTTTTTTGGACTATAAACGAAATTAAATGGATTTCACTTGAAAGCGCTGATAAAAATCATTTCGTATGGTACCGCGTGGGATCCGAGCCCCCCCGGGAAACCCACACCCCACATGGCGGGGGATCAGTGTGATTCACGCCAGTGGCACTGCGGATAGCAGGAATACCCACACAGATATCACATCGTTTGCGTATGCCTTGAGCTGCACCGCAACGCAAAACTCCACCAGCGGATTGTTGTTGTAGTGGATGCAGGTGCTGCGAATGCGATCCGAAACGGCCGCCAGATTGGTGTACGAAAAGTTGAGGGTGAAGCCGTACAGCTGTGGAAACAAATCGCAATTAATCACTGATAATAATTGATGGGCAGATGGGGTCATGGCTGATATCTACGCACGCACCTTGTAATTGGGATGGTCGCGTTCCAGCTGCTCGTTGTAGGGAATCTCTTCGTAGCGGCCTCTGGAGTAGGTGGCCTGTGCCTCCATTTCGCCGAGTATCTTCTGTAGTTGCGGTTGAAAGGCGCTGCAAGAATAAACCCTTGAATGAGGTCACGTCTGGAATGGAGTGGCTTTACTCACCGATTCCAATTGGTCTTGCGTGTGGTGCGCCAGCCACTGATCTTCTTCATGATCTTGCGCTCAATGTTCTTCTGCAGCTGGCTGAGCTCGTAGCTGCGCTTGTAGGCATAGTCCAGCACCTGGACACAACCCTGAGGAGCGGATTGTTGCCTGTTGAAGAGCGGAAACCAGCAGGCGGCATCCTGCAGATTGAAGTGAGTCATGCTGACGCGCGTCTCCGACTGAATGTTGAAGTACATCTGCAAGGAGGTCAATCGTAGATTGATGGCATGGCATGAAATAGTTTCGTTGTTTTACGTTCTGCTTGTTCACGAGGCAATAGACGCGCCTCAGCGGGCAGTGGACATCCTGCAGCTGATAGTGCCTGCCGCTGGCAGGAGCCACGAACAGGAGCTCCGCCGTTTCGGGCTGGCGATAGATCACAAAGGTGCACTCCCCATGGGGACAGGCCTGTCCCAGGACGAGCCAGCACTCGAGGCCCAGACCTAGCATAAAGTTGCAGAGCAGCACGCCCTGATCCTTGACCGAACACCAAGTGCTGTCCAGCAGCGTCTGGTTGTCCAGCCAGACGCCGCGGAAGCCCAGGCAGGGATCGTAGCTGCGCAGCTGGCATAATAGAGCCACAAAGCGGCAGGCAGTCTCCAGGGCACTCTTGCTGGTGGCCACCGCGCCAGGAAGCGGCACTTGCTCCAGCAGCCGCGTCACACACACCCGCTTGCCCAGAGCCGTGCAGACCAGAGGCTCCACAAAGCGCTGCGGCTGGGGCAGCAGCTGCTGCAGCTCCATGCGGCGCTCGTTCAGGTACGCCTGCAGCTGCCCCGTCTCGGCACAAGCCAGCGCGTTCGTTGGCAGTGGCGGCAGGTCACAGCGGTTCGGCTCGATGCTGAGGTAGAACCACAGATGCACCGACTCCTTGAACTCGGGATACTGATCGGAGGGTAGGTTCGTCACGGAGTCAATCAGCGGTCGCCTGTAGCCGATCAGCACCTTCGGCATGACGAGCTCAATGCATCCCTCAAACTGTGGACACAATTGTGGATTGATTTTTGAATGGGAATATGGATTGGGTATAGCGTACCTTGCCGCTGGCCAAAAGACTGGAAATCGGCACCCGGTACTCGCCCAGCCAATTGCATTGCACGCGCTGGTACACATCGGATGCCTCGTCGCTGGCCTGCTGCTCGATGAGCTCATCGAATAGGCTGATCTTTAGGTCTTCGCGCATATCCTTGTGGTGGCCGCTGAGCTGCAGCTGCAGCTCCTCGTTCCAGGTGGGATTGCTGCCCTCTGCGGTGCGACTGCGGCTCAGCCGTTGCCCATAGCTCAACGATACAAACGGACGCACATTGGAGTACATGAGAGCTGTGAGGGATGTATTGAAGGTAAGGTTAAATACAAAATTTCATGTCGGGGCTTACTCTGCGTCACAAAGAGACTGTCTGGCCCGGACTTGGGCAATTCCTCGAGGTTGATGAGGTGGCGGCTGCGCACCGGCACTCCAGTGGCCCTCACAACATGAAGGGACACCACATAATGTTGGAACTGATCGTGCTCGGCCTGAGGTTGCCAGGCAGCTGGCTCGCGTATCATCGCGTTGGAGCCTCCCTGGAAAAGCGAGCAGAAGGCACGCCAGAGCGAGGTCCAGCTGGTGCCCAGTGAGAGATCAAAGCCCTCGGCCAGGAATAGCAGGGGATGGGCTGACTGCTGAGCCTTGGCTCGACGGGCGCTCTGGTTTCCGATGACCTCGTAGAGCAGCTTCAGGAACTTGTAGCCGCGATGCTTGTGCAGATCGATGGGATTCCAGAAGGTGCCGGGCTCCAGCAGCTGGCTCGAGTCACCAGTGTTGGAAATTGCCTCCCCCTCGTCGGACAACTCCTGCTCCAAGGCAGGAACAAAACGTAGCTGCTTGGTGTGCAGGTTCCGCTGCTGGTGGCGCGAGCGGAGCAGCTGGAAACGCTTGTTGCTGAGCAGCGTGCTGATGGGACAGAACTGCAGCTGCTGCTCTGTAAACACCAGAACTGGCGCCTTGTTCTTCTTGCGCCTGTGGCACGGTCCTATGGGTGTGGCCGGCTCTGTGTCGGCAGCGACGGCAGCTGCTGCAGGAAGTCTTGGGGGTAACAGAGTCCGAAGCAGAGCATTGGGCAGTGCCTGGATGTCATCCAAATCGTTGACACCCTGACGCACCTCCATGGGGGAATAGTCGTAGTACAAGCAGACATCTCCGGCCATCTGTGGTGAGGAAGGGAAGGCCTGAAAGCTAAGCTTTAGTGGCACCGCTTTCTCCTTACGGCTGAGATCCAACTTTGATCTCAGCACGGCTAAGCGGCGACCCTGCTGGGTAAGCGTGGACTTCTCGTAGAGCCAAATGTTAATATTTTGCGGCAGCTTGCGCTCCAAGAGCACACCAAAGCTCTCGTTCATGTACAGATGGAGATCCTCCTCCAGGCGATAGCTTCTGGTCTGGCCAACATAAAGATCGTCCAGGTAGAGCCTCAGGAAGTAGCTGCGGTTGCGTCGCTTGGCGAGCTGCTCGCTGGCTGGCAAAAAGAGCTTGGTAGTTGCCTCGTCAGCATAAAGACGCACAATATCGACATAAGGCTCCTCGGGATGCCTGAAGGCCCGCTCGTAGTCCTTCTTGAGGCTGGCCATAAGCTTGTCGAAGCTCGGCTTGCGTGGCGGCTTCGACAGGGACTGGCCCTCGACCATCGCTTCGCCCCAGTGACGTCGACGGCAGTAGAAGAGTTCTAGCTGCTCGCGATAGACCTCGGCCAGATCATCCTCGAACTGTTGATTCCATTCAGAGTGCGACGACTCCAGGTGACAAACGTGCAACTTTAGCTGAAAGCGAGTGCACTGGAAATTCTGTTCGGAGCGCAGCGCCTTAAGTCTGGCCCACTCACGGAGTAGTCGTAAGGAGAGCTTGCGCTCGTCAGTGGCTTCTGCGTAGTAGCGTTGACGCAGCTTTTGCGTGAGGCGCAGCTGATGACGTATCTCGGCGCTCAGCTCGGGTCGGGCGGCGGTGAGTAGCTTGGACGCCACTTGGCGGGAAAGTTCGAGCTCTTCTTTCAACTTTTGGCAGATCTGTCGGCTACGATTTTCGGTATACTGATTGAAGAGATCGTCCAGCTGCTGGGCCAACCTGTGCTCGGGCAGCAGCAGCGGATGCGCACTGAAGCGGAGTCGCTTGAACGTCAGCGTGAGGCAGCGACGAGTGGGTATGCCCTCGAACTGGCCAATCGCTGCTGGCGGTAGGAAAATCCCTGGAAACTCCCTATCGCTGATGGTGCGGTACAGGCGGTTATCCATCACAAATTGGGAGGCACTGTCTTCACACAGCTCCGCCACTAGGTCGGAGTTGAGCTTGCTGGCATCGCCCTTGGCCTGCTCCTGGAAACGGTTCAACATTCGTATTTGGGCTGGCCTTGGGTGGCAGTCACCCAAATGGAGTTGAAAGTGAACAGCATTGGCGGGCGTGTACAGAAAGCTGTCGTCATAGTAGTGCACCTGCTTGTGTAGCCCTGGCCAGACCAGTGGCGGTTCTTGCAGTTCAATTTCTATGTACGTTTGGCCCGGCGAATCATTTAATTCTGTGGCCGGCTCGTCGTCACCCTCAGCCTCCTCCTCGTCATCCTGTGTTGATCCATGGACAGATGTCTCCTGCTCTTCAACTGTCACATCGTCTGCGCCGTGAAAGAACCGCAGGCTCCGTGCCTCTAGTTCGAGCTCTTGCCCGCTGCCGTCTTCGTACTTGGTTTCCCTCAACAAAGATTCGACCTCCTGTTCACATTTGCGATATGCGCGTGTCGTGTGCGTTTTTCGCTTCTTTTTGCTGCGCCTCGGTGTAAAAGTCGTCTCCATAATTGCTGTGTTTACAAATAATTCCTTCCCGATTAAACAAATTCTGGGTTTGGACTGCTGAGAAAAATAAACAATTTTGTTTTGACAATTTGGTTGGTTGCTAACGGCTACTGGTTATCGATCAACTTATCGAGAGAAACAGCCAAAGACGCATATATTTATCTCGCTCTCGCTGCATTGTTTTCCCATTTGCATGATTTTGCACAGTATATGTAGTATGTATGTTCATTTAGCTATGTTTACAAAAGCTTTACGCTGTTTTTATGCAAATCAGAACTATGTAAATTAGAAAAATTCTCCCAAATCAGCAGCTGACTGCAGACAACACCTTGAACTATAGTTGTAGGTTAATTTAAATATATTTTAATTACGTACACAGCGGATTATTCAAATATCGGTTAAAAGAAGTATCAAACACCATTAACAAATTATAATGCCTTCGCCGTTCGGCGTAATACAGATCATTGATGGTGTTTATCACTTTCTCGTCATTGAAGGAGTTATCTGCCGGCGCTTCCAAGATATTCCCCTTGACATACCAATCTAGGGCCGCAAAATGATCTTTTACGATAGATCTCATACCAGCGCCACTGAAGATGGGCTTCCGGAAAAGATCGTACATATTTTTCTTCCCATATTTGTGAAGGATGCGGTCCACAGTGACGTCAATCTGATCGCCGGTACTGTAATACATGTACCAGATCTTGCGTCGGGGAGAGCGTACGTCGGTAAGGCTCATTACACCGAAGAATTCCACTGCACCTGGATCACATTCGCGTTCATTCCAGACATCTTTTAATCTGGAAATTGTTCGCATGTACTGCTCCAGTCTCCTCTCTAGGTCTGCATATGAAGCTACGGCAGAAATTTTTCACGTCTTTATTTGAACTTATTAATAATTGCTTAAGTATAATATTTACCATTGGGAGTGTTAATTTCTTTTTCATAGTCGGTCATCGTGTTTGAGGTCTTTGTTAGGTTTCAGTGAATGAATGAATGTTGAAGTTACCCTGCGCTGGACTTTATATGTAGTTTGTTTACGTTTCATTTCGCATGAACAGCAAATTTATTTCGCCACAAAAGCTAGCTGCAAGAGAGCTTTCACAGAAAAGCTGTCGGAGTGGCCGGAGGTTCAAAATATGGTGGATCTACATACATATGTACATATGTTTGTGATTTCATTTATTTTCAACAAAAAATGACACGATGATATATTTAACAATTCTTTTTTTCTTCATTGTAAGAATTAAATATTTCTCTTCTTGCGCTCAACGATACAATTACAAGTAATTCTTATTATGCAAAAACGGTTTTAAAGTAACTTAGAATACTTTAGCTCTTTTTTTTTTTATCTATTAATCAACCAAGCCCTACCCCTATCCAAGCAACTCCATAGAGTCTTCCAGTTCGCCCTTGATCTCCGCCTCTATTGGCACCACAATATTGGAGTCGGGCAATATGCTCTCCTCTGCCTGCGGCGAGACCTGGTTAATGATGAACACATTCGGACTGCGGGCTCGGTTCTTTCCAACGGGTCTGCCGCTCGGTGTTGTGGCAGCAGACTTTGCCTTTGACCCCGGCACAGCCACGGCCTTGGGGAGGGGAAGCTCAGATAACGAAGCAGGCGTTTTGGCTACACCAACAGGAGGCTTCTTGGATCCTTGTCGCGCAGGGATTGGGGGATTTGACTGACGACCCAGTGCCTTCTGTTGCGACGGTGGTTGCACGGTGGAAACGGTCGTCCTTGAACCAGGTCTCTTCCCACTGTTGCCTTTTGGTGGTGGCGGTGGTGCTACTGCTGCTTTCACAGCCACATCAGCCGTGGGTTTCGTTTTCTGCATAGAGAATAAACATCAAATATTATTATAGTTTAACGGATAATGCTATCGACTTACCTTGATTTGATTCAGCTGCACACCCGTCCTGGCCGCCTTGCTTGAGGTCGCCAGGATTCCACTCTGCGCTGTCGCAGAGGTTGATGGTCCCAGTGGAGTGCTGCTGGCCTTGGGCGCTGTCCGATTAACGATCGATGAGTTCGGTTTCGAGCACTGATACCCAATGATGGTCTTGTCCGAATCGTACACAGGAATTTTGTTTGGCAGAGAGTTGCGCTGCTGTGCTGGCTTCTTCGTTGGGGGTGCGGATGATGTTACAGTTGCAGTTGGAGTGCTGACTTTTCTCTTAACCCCCGAAGCAGCTGGAATGATTACAGGATTGAGGCGGAGTGGGGGCATGGGCGTCTGAATGTTGGTAGCTCGGTTTAGGTAGTGGACGTAGTTCTCAAGCAACTTGGTGCCCACGTCCACATCGATGGCCAATAACGTGCTGGTTTTCACAATCTCCTCAATGGTGCGCTGTCGCTCGGTCAGAGTCAGTGTGGATGCGCGCCTGCTCAGACCCTGGAGCACCAAGTCGAACATCTGAACTCGCGTCTGCAGCTCTACCCGTTCCTTGTCCATTGGGCAGATGGGCGGCAGCTGGATCAAGGCCGGAGGCAGACTGGGGGCAGCAGCGGGTGGGGCAACCGCAGATGCGAGGACCTTTTTAGATACCGTCGTTGCACGTGGCAATTGTTTGGACACGGACTGAACTGTGACTTCAGCCTGGGCAACTGGAAGAGCTATTGTGGGTGCAGGAGTGGCAATGGAGGTGGCGGTTGCGATGGTTGGTGGAGGGATGGAAATGGCAGGCAAGGGCGGAGTGGGCAGATGTCCCGGAGCGAGGTTGGACGCAGGCACTGCCACTGGAAGCGACGGCTCACTGGAGTCCGTGCTCATTCGCACCGTCTGTGCACCAAATGGCTTTCCACTCTTGTCTAGCTGCGCCAGCTTCGCTCGGACCTTGTGGGGCAGATCCTTGTCTGCCTTAGAGATGATCTTTGTCGTGATAACCATGAATTGCGGCAGCTCCAGCACTGGCACCTGGGCTGTGGCATGCAAGCGCGTCGGGTCAATGGCCCGCATCGGTCCATCCAGATTGGGGCAGCAAAAGTCCAGTCCCACTTCGCCATACGATCGCTGATAGCGTTGGGGGTACAGAAAGGAGAAAATCTTGGTATGGCCAGGCTTCTGGCTGGCCTCGGCCGAGCTGGCCGATGGTGTCGAGCTGACCAATCTGCCAATTGCCGCCGGAGGAGCACCCAAACGAATTGTCTGATGACTCGAGGTGCTGGTTGGCAGTGGAACCACCTCCTCTGGTGGCAACGCCTCAGCGGAAGCTTCTGGAGTCGACACAACAGCAGGCGTTGGTATGGGTATGGCCGGCAATGTATCCACCTCCATTGGCGATCCTTCTTCTAGCTCCGTTTTTATTTCCATAACTGGTATGGGAATAGGGAGTTTCATCGCTAGTATGCCAGTATGAGTTCTCTTCTGAGCTGGTTGAGTCGACACGGATGCCGCCACTGGCTGGAGAACAGCAGCGACTGGTTGCCGTGGAGCTGGGACTGCATTGAGAGCTGGTTCTGGGTCTAGCTCTGACTCTGTCACTGGTCCTTCAGTTTGAAGCTCTGATTCGGGCTCTCGCTGTTTTTGCAGCACACTCTCCATCCACTTTTTGACCACTCCTCGATTGATTGTAACGCGACACTTTCGCAGCTTGGGCTTCCTAATGGGCTGTGTTGTGGCTGGGCTGTGACTTGGGGCCGTGACCGAAAGCGGTGTGGGAGATTGGGAGGAGCTGCTGGCAGCGGTTATGAATACTGGGAAGGCAATGGACGGAGCTTCCCGTGTTGCTGGCTCCTGCTCTTGCTCTCCTCTTGTCCTCTTCGTAGTGGTGGCTTCTGATTCTGTTTCGTCGTTTTCGGTACCCTTTCGTTTTTTGTTCGAACGTCTGGTGCGCGTACCAGCTGGAAGTCGCGGCGGACGTTTGCCCTTTTTAGGCGGAACCAATGGCTCAGCTGAAGGCGTAACTGCTACCGGTTCAGGCTTTTTCGTAGCTGGACGACGCGCTGCGGCTGTAGGAGTTGGCGTTGCAGCCAGCGATCGATTGCTGCTGGCGGCGCGCGTCATGTGTGTGGCCATTGAGACACCCATTTGTCGGTGTGTCGGCAAGGAAGCGCCTTTGCCCAGTCGAGATGTGCGTCCGGAGCGCTCGTGGGATGAATCCCTGGAAGACGGACCTGTATCCACTTCCGCAGTGCTAATTGTAGATTTGCTTCGAAAAGCTTCCAGATCGGACCGTCGCTGTTCGTCTTTTGCCTTTTGAAGTGCTTCATTCGCCTTGACTCCCGGCATCTTTACGCCTTTAGTTTGTGCCCTGACATCCTCTTCCGACTCCCGGGGCTCGGGTTTTCTGGCTGGCGCTGTTGTATGTTGGCCCATTTCCAGCCTGTGCTGCAAATTCCTATCCATCTCCGTGTTCTTCGTCTTCACCGTCTTCTTCTTGGCATCCACTGGCTTCCTTGATGATGTGATGTTCTTCTCGGCATTCAGCAGCGCCTTCGTAACCTGAGCAGCACTTGCGGACGGGCCGCTGGCGCTTGATTTACCCGCAGCATCAGCCAAAGCATCAGCTTCTTTGTTGGGCATCACGGTTACGGAGATGTTAACCTTTCGCAGTGCTGCTGCGGCTCCTTCTCCTTTGGGAGTGCTTTCTGCTGCCTTCTTGCATGGCAACTCACTCGCTGGCGCAACACCCTTCTTGGTGAGCACAGTGTAGCTGGGGATAATCTGTTCTGGTTCCTGCTTGCCTGCTGCTGCTGCTGTTTGATTCTTGCCGGCAGGCGTACTATTCTTTTGAATTGCCTTGCGGTTATCCATATACGAGGTGAGCAAATTCTGCACCAGCGGCTTCTTAGACGCTAGCGCAGACGATGGTGAAGGCGAACTATCTGCAGGGGCTTCCAGAGATTTCTTGGGAACTGTCGATATGATGATGTGCTTTGTTGTATCGGTGCCCTTGGGGGTATTGACATTCGATTTTCGTGCGGCTCCTGCCGAGGACTTTGAAGACTCCTCTGGCAAGCCGTCTGTGGTTGAAATAATTGTGTCCTTGCCTATGAGGGATATGAATTTACCCTTGGCTTGGGAATTGGACGAAGCAGAGGTAGAGGCTGTTTCCGTGCCATCGTCCTCTAACTTTGTACGCTTATACGGTGGCCGCTCCTCTGCCTCCAACTGATTACGGCGACGCACTATCATTCATTGAGATGGCAGATTAGGACTAAAGACTTCGGCAAAAGACTAACCGACTCACCTAGTTTTTTCTGGCCCTGTTTGTCCTTGAGTGTCTTCTCCAGCTGCTGCTCTTGCTGTTTTTTCCGTTGGGCTGCTTCTAAATGGAAAGAAACAATCAGATGGGAAGAGAACAAAATTTAATATTAGAGATTTTTTTTAACAGTGACAATATTGGTAAGCTATTAACCATCTGACTGTGGGGTCTCCACTTCCCGTTTACGCCTAGCGCGCACGGTCTTGTTTGATTTGCTTGATTCCGTGGCGACGCTGACACCTGTTGTTTCTGTGGAGACTGGGCTTTCTGTTGTTTCATTTGTGAGTGGACTTTCTGTTGTTTCTGTTGTGACTGGGCTGTCGGCATGGGATTCCCTATCGATTTTGTCAGGGACATTGAACAATTCCCCAGTATTGTCGTTGATTTTTAAAGTGCTTTGGCTGTTATGCAACTCCTCCTCCACTTTGTTTGGATCCCCAGAGGAAACCTCCAAAGTTGCAGGCTGTTCCTCTGTCCTTTCCTCTCCAAGTGGCGATGCTTCTTTTGGGATTTCCTCTACAGATTCAGCAATAGACGGAGCTGTTGTAGTGATCTCTTCCGTGTGGTCAGCTTCATTCGGTTCTTCCACCAATTTAGCGTCAGCGGAAGGCACATCTTCCTGATGTGCTGTATCCACAATTGCCTGTTCAACCGAAGACTGCATCAGAGTTTCCGCAGCCTCTGGAGTATCTTCTGCCGTCGCTTTGTCCTCGATGTCTTCTATTTTTAGAGCGTCAGTTTCGGTGTCATTCTTATCTTTGAGACCCATGGCAGGCGTGCTTCTGCCAGCAGATGATGTGGAACTGGGTCCTTTGCGCATTAGGACGCGTAGCTGACGACAGGGTGCTGTGCGTGGAGTGATAGAAACTAATTCATGATTTTCGGATGAGCTATCCGGAATCGTTTTGGTGTTTCC